TTATTTATAAGACTAACTATATACAATAAAGTCCCTCATGACAGTGCATATGAAATGCTATGGTACAGATTCCAAAGAATCTGTTTAAAAATAAATTTTTTTAACTTGTATCTTTTAATGTCTTTTGAATATTTTTTAATATCTGTTGAAGAAGAAATGTAAACACTTATTTTATATATAATTACTTCTTTATAAAGCTAAGGTAGAAAGTAAAACAGCATTACTCTTTGCTATCTAAAAAATAACTGAAATAATCAAATTGCATGATAAAAAAAATATAAAATTTGCATGTTATTTACTAAAATTTAAGAAGAAAATCACATGATTCTGATAACCACCTGAACCTGATCCAGTGTATAATATTGAATATTTAATGATAAACGTAAGTCATTTCAAAGGAAAATAAGCAATTTCCAATCGATGTTCTTTTCAAAAAACAAGAAAATATTCAACTTTCTACCGTCACTGCATATTTAAGGAAAATGTATATGCAAATTTGTTCTGAGATAAAATAAAAATAAATATTTCTTTCCATTATTATATAATTTCGATATAGCATTTTATCGGACGACGATGATTCAACAAAATTTTAATATTCATAAATACAAATAAAGCAAGATTTTACAAATTTTTGGAAATACTTATGAAATAATTAATGATATAAGGCGATCATTTAAGTTCGAATGCAATTTTGAATTTAACATTTGATTGATACTCGTATTTCGTCACTTTGCATATTAATCATCTTAAGTATAAACAAACGGTTATTCATCTCGAGTTTATACACTACACACTACCATCGATAGCTGTTACATTAAGTTAAACAAAATGTTTGTAACGATATGTGCGTAGCCTAGGGGTATATGGGGCAATTGCCCTCCAAAAATGTAATCGAAGTATTATTATATTCTATAGGAAACAGAAGACCCATGTAATATTTGAAACCCACCACGTCTTATAAATATGATGTATGGATGACAAAGGTGTAATAATTATTATTATTTTTATTGTTATTATTTTTAATGTTATAATAATTAACTAATAGAAGAATGCTATTTATTATTTAATTTAAAAACATTTGTATAGTTTTTATAAAGAAAAAATCTTTTCGATCATAACCCATGTTACTTATTCTGACTCACATCCATACTTAGACGAGTATGTTACTCATAAATGAAGATTTAAAAAAGTGTATGATGTTGATTTGATTCTCTGACTGTCTGTATGTCGACAAAGAACCCGCTAATTAACTGAAATAATGGAATGATGCTTTCCACGGTTACTTCTTTTAACTTTATTATTGGATTGTTAACTTAATATGCAAGATTTTTCTGCATATTAAATCAACATTTTAAATTTTAATATTTTATTTTTATTGTTTATTGACAAATATTTATTTGAGCTTAATGCACGAGCTAAGAGTTATTACAAAGCACAGTTATTTTAAATTTCGGATGATATTGAAGCATACAACGAAATGCAAAAAATTTAGACAAGTATATTACCGTAAACAGGGTTGTACAAAACTAATATACAACAGAGAGAGAGTTTTGCAAATCAGGGCAGTTGGGAGATTAATAAATACCATAGAATGACTTTATTGAAACATTTTAATCTGTAGGCCTGACATTGCATCATCAGGTTATTAGTATACCTATGGAATATTGTTTGCAACACTATTGCAGTATGTATTTAATCTTAAAAGAAGGCTGGAAGAAAAGCATGTTTTAATTTTTTATGATATAATTTACAAATTTTAAAGCATAGGAAACGATGAAGATGCCAGAAGTCAGTCAACACTCAACATTATTTGGACTAATAATATTTATTTAAATGAAAAGAATTATCTCCTGTAATTCTTCAAAAATTCAAATTGCTTTTAAACACATTTTTGAATAAATACCAAAATATAATAGCGAGTGGTAGTCCAGTATGACAGTTGTTTCCGACTTTGATAAATATCAATCTACATACAGTACATCGGTTTTATTTAGAAAAACATAAATTTTACTCTAATTTTATATTAACTATTAATCGTACGATTTTAAAAACGCTAGAATCTAGAATCAAAATACAAAAAAATATATTGACTTCAAAGGAAAAAATCCCTCGTCTCTATAAGCAACAAATTAATGATACACAAATAAGTCTCAGCTCCGGTGTGGACGTATGGAATACAGTTATGAGGATGTGCACCCAAACCGTACATTTAAACATTCCAAATTTCAAAATCAATGAAATGAAATTTCAAATTATGAATTATGAAATTTAGTCAACGCTTCATGGTTAATTACGAATACTGTCCTCCATCGGGGCTTAAAGATCGAATCTGTAGATGCAGTAAAGCAAAAGCTTGCGGTAAAGTACCAAAAACAGTTACAACAGCACCCAAACGAGACAGCACACCATCTGACCTGCTGAGGAGACTTAGACTTAAAAGCCAGTAACAAATAGCAGTCTTCATATCGTTTGAAAATAAAAACGTAACATATGCATTCTTGATCAACACAAGGAATGCCATAAAATCGAATCTAGCTATAACTTAGTGATTTTGTCCATGAATCTATTTAAACATTATTGCAAATATGTGTTCCAAATTTGGAAATATCAGTGGCAAGTTCAAACAACCGATTTAGACTTTAAAATAATTTTTATATAAAAATAACATGTTAATCACAATAGGCCCAGATAAATGACGTTAATGTGCGGCGCCTGCTTGTAAGTTGAGCTGCCACTGATATACATTTTCTATATACAGAGTGAAATAATACGAAATGAGTATTAAAATTAATACTCATTACTACTGTATTAATATACAATCAAATTTTTTATCAAAATTAAAATTCTGTTTTTAAACTTTTTTATAAATTTATTTAATCACATTTTGTAAATCCTTTTATATTATTTATCATATTATGAACAAAAGAAATATATCATATATATATTTAAATTTAATAAGTATATATTTAACTTTCTTAACCTAAACCTCTCATATTATCATGGTTCTGATACTCCTTGTAAACTTCTGTTGGTTGATTCATTCGGTTTTTATGATTCGAACGTGGCTGCAATTTGGATATATAGTTGTTGACATCACCACTATTGTTGGATAATCCACAATTAAGATTTATTATAAAAATTAAAAGTGAAAAGATGAAAATAAAACGCATTTTGAAGATAACTGATGTAAGAGTAATAAAATTAAAACCATAGATCACTCTTATGAGTTTAAGTTCGTTTTTATTGTTTATCGAAATACAAACACACACGAAATTATAATGTTTAATATTTGCAACGCTAGCACGCGGTGATCGATCAAAAACCATTCACTCACTGACTGTTTCGTTTTTGTTTTTTTCCTTTTGTTTCTTTTCCTTTTCAGTCAGGGCTGCCATCCTCTTACAGCTCGGCCTTTCCTGCTGCTTCGGATCGTCCTCGATCCGTGATTGTCGAGTTGTTTCCTTCGTCTTCGTCAGCACCTTCGTCTTGACCGTCGCAGAACTGAGGTAAAGCACACCATGATTTCATTTTGTCGCTGGAGTAAACCGACGAATAATGGCGCTGAGTACGTTGGGAACCAGGTATGTCTTGCACGACATAGCGATCGTTACCTAGTACGCGTGTAATTTGAAATGGGCCTTTATATCTGGGTTCGAGTTTACGTGAGGTGCCGGTGCATGGTGCCTCGTATTCAACCACAACTAAGTCGTCAACGTTGTACTTAGTCGGTGTTGAGTGCTTTTTGTCATAACGTTGTTTAGCCTTTAGTCGTTCTGCATTCAGCCGCTTTACTGCTTCATTAAGATTGTTCGTTAGATTGTCGTTCAATATATCATCTCGCTGTAGAACAAGCACTATCTTATTCTGTAGTATATCTCGTGGTTTAAAATTGAACAGCAGTTCTTGTGGCGTTCGAGAAGTCGTTTTATTGCGCATACTGTTTATCGACCATCGAATCGTACGAAGGGACTCGTCCCAGCGCTTGTCGTTATTTATCGTAGGTAATAGCATAGAGAGTATAGTTCTATTGCATCGCTCGACTAAGCCATTTGCTCGTGGTGTTCGTACAGAATTAGATATATGTTGAATGTCGTTCTCGTTGCAAAACCGTTTGAATTCTTTTGATGTGAATGCCGACCCGCGATCCGATATAATTCTCTGTGGCATTCCCACATAACTACTTATTTCACTGAGAACGTCGATTACATGTCGTGTCGCTGTACTTTTCACTGCTCGAATAATTGTAAAACGTGTGAACGCGTCGATAACAACCAACATGTGCTCTTTTTGTTTTGAGCTTTTCGGAAAGGGACCTAAGTGATCAACGTGTACGGTTCGGAACGGTATTGGTTCAATTTCGCTAATATGCAGTTCGCCTTCCTTTTTACCTCCTGGCACCTTATTATATGTGCAGTCGATGCAAGATTTCAAATATGATTTTACAAAGTTACGCATGCGAGCAAACCACATATGCTCGCTTATTCGTGCAATCGTTTTCTCTAGACCCATATGTCCAGCTTTATCGTGGGCGTTATACACAACTTGCCATCGCAATCCTTTCGGAACCACCCAAAGATTTTTGTCTTTCATCTTTTTGTATAGTCTGCCATGCTGTAAAATAAAATCTTTGCCAACTGTTGCATCGCCATTACGTAAATTCTTGACTGTTTGTTTGATGGATTCATCTTGAAGCTGCATTCCGAAGAGCCAATTATCATGGCTTACTTGTATTTTATCGACTCGTAGAGATGCTGTTTCTAACTCACGTGATGCTTCAACTGGGGCACGACTCAATGCGTCTACATGAGCCATTCGTTGGCCTGCACGATGTTCTATTTCGATGTCAAATTCCTGAATACGAAGCCACCACCTTGCAATGCGTGGTATAAGCTCCCGTTTCTTCATGACCGTGTTCAATGCGTTACAGTCTGTGATGACTTTTATTCGTTTCCCATATATATAGTACTTAAACCTTTCTATTGCTTCTACTACTGCAAGAGTTTCGAGTTCATAGCTGTGATACTTCCTTTCGTTATCCGTAGTAGCTCGACTATAATAAATAACCGGTTTCCATCCAGCACACTCTTTTTGCATTAATGCGCCTGCCAAACCTACAGCGCTAGCATCCGTATGTACTTGATGTTCTGCCTCCGCCCTATATGCTGCCAGCACAGGTCGCGAGACTAAAATTGCCTTTAACTCTTCGAAAGCATCGTTTTCTTTGTTTGTCCACTTAAACGTTTGATCCTTTCGCAATAACTGATTTAATGGAGCGCCAATAACTGCATATCCTGGCACGAATTTTCTAAAATATCCACTCAAGCCAAGAAACTGTCTGACTTCTGTGACGTTCTCTGGTGTTTTGAACTCGCGTACAGCTTTTGTTTTAGCCATTCCGGGCGCAATACCATCTGGGTTCAACTCATGGCCTAAAAATTCAATGGTAGTTTTCAAAAATTCGCACTTACTTAGGTTGAGAGTAACCTTCGCTTTACCCAACGCTCTTAAGACACGTTCTAATTTTTCGTACATTTCGTTCACCGTTACACTACCAATTAGTATGTCGTCCATATAATTCATCATGTCATCAGGTTTTACAGTTTCCCTTATCTTAGCGATAAGACGTTGAAAAACTGCCGGAGCATTTTTAAGTCCGGACGGCATTCGCTTGAATTCGTATAATCCTTCGGTTGTAATAAACGCAGTAAACTTTCGACTATTTTCCTCAATAGGAATTTGATAATACCCGCTGTTTAGGTCTAAGATCGTAAAGTATTTAAAACGTTTTGCTTTCTGTAATTGTTCTTCAATATTCGGAGTTGGAAATATTTCTTTTTTCATATGCTGATTTAACCGTCGAAAATCTACACATAACCGATCGCTACCGTTTTTCTTTTTCACCAGAATTATGGGACTTGCATATTCAGAATTAGATTTACTTATGATGCCACTATCCAGTAATTCCTTTATCATATCTGCGATTACACGTTTCTTCGGTTCAGGTACACGAAACGGTTTTTGGGCTATTGGTATATTAGTATCGAGTTCAATATTCATTTCCATGAGGTCGGTGCATCCAATATCACTTACTCCCGTTGCGAACACATCAGAGTATTTGTTCATTAAACTAATTAACTCAGTTTTAACA